TCCATCAGTGCTACGGAAACACTGGTCTCGAGGACAGGAGAGAAGCCCGGACACCTGCTTCCTGTCTTTATGAGCTGGGGTTTCCTGCATGAGGCACCTCAGAGCAGCTCTTAGGCTCCTGGCCTGGGGCTCTCCTAGTATCTTAAGACTGCAGTTTTGGGTCCACGAGACAGGGATTATTGAAATGTCCACAGAGTGGGCCCTGCTGGGTTAGACCTTACAGCAGTGGGTCCCCAAGAGGCAGGATTAGTAGATCCCAGATTTAGCTGGAAACACGTTTCCCCTGCTACATACACGCACGTGCGTGCACGCACACACACACACGAACCTACACACCAGACAGGATGTGAGCCCCGAGGGGCTGGGGACATGCTCAGCTCTCCTTCCGTGTGCATCTGACTTGACCCAGGACACCGGGCCTAGTGAAGGATGGCCAGTGAGGGGTCTGTTACTATGAGCCCACACCAAACAACAGTGTGAAATGCTTTGGTTTGGTCACTTCGCGTCCCATCTAACTAAAGTCGGCTAGCGCAGCTTCCTGACTTAGTAAGTAGAATACACTCAACAGAACCATCATGTCCTTTGATGACTCAAGACCGAGCAGGGTCTCAGTGTTTGAAAACATCTATTCTCAGCCAGCTGGAGCCTACATGGGTCAGGGTGTCGTGTCACAGCAGAGAAGGAAGGATTCTTTAAACACACGGAGCTTGCATATTCCAAATACAGGACCATGCTTCTCGTTCACAAACAAGTTGGTTCTATCCTGTTTTTCTTGGGGACACTCAGTCTTCGTTGTCTCACTTTGTTTTTCCCACTTTTAAGACAGATGTGAGTTCGGGTAATATTTTTGCTCGTCTTTTCATGAGTAAAGGGAGAAAAGAAAGCAACTCGATTGAAGCCCACATGATTCCACCAATAGAATAATAACAGCCTGTATTTACCCAGCACTTTCTGTGTGTCAGGCACTATGCTAAAGCCCTTGATATACAATATTTCATTGACGCTTCCTAGTAAATAGGTACTAAACATTGTGTCACTTTCTCAGGTGGACAAACTGAGATGCAGAAAGCCATGCACCTCTCTTAGAAACTTCTGACTTGGGCACTCCTGCCCCTTTGAGGAGGCTCCTGAGTTTGCTCATCCTTCCTGGGACGGGAGAAGTAGTGGTTTTGGAGCTACAGATGGAGTGGCAGATGGGAAGTGAAAGCCTATCAGAGTTGCCCAGGATAAAACCATTCATCTGCAAAATTCATATGTTTTTGCGTGGGGCGACTTCCCAGAAACAAAAGCAAGAGGAACCAGCAGTGCTTGATGCATAAAGTGCCTCTGGCCATGAGGCTGGCAAAGTGAAATGGGCAGAAGAACCGGGGGGGTGGGGGAGGGCCACGGAAATGAAAGCAGGGGGGGCAGAGGGAGGGAAAGACAGAATAAGGCACACAGAGACCTGGAGCATTAAAGCTAAACAAGCCAAAAATTCCAGGACTCTCTTCTCTGAAGCCCAAAATAGGTTTGGCACGTGGTCCAGGAAAGGGTTCCTGGGCCCCCTCGGACAGAGAGGAGCTTCAGCCTTGAATGCGGCTCAGGAACGAACAGCTGACACTTATTTGGGTAAGTAAGCACTTCGTAGGTGCCCAACGCTCTGCTAGGTTCTATGATCATAGCCCAGTTTCACAAAGACTGAACTTCCTTGCAGATGGTCATATGGCTAGTGAAGTGGCAGAACTCAGACTCGAACCCTAAGCCATCTGCTGGGCCTCTCATCACCCACCCTTCCTGGATGCCCAAGTGCTAAATATCCCTATATCCCGGCCCAGCTGAGCTGGTTTGAGTCCATGGTCGCGGCAAATCAACACAGGGCCCCTAGGGGGCAGCCTCGAGGCTTGGTGGGGGTCTCCTGGGGCGGGCCATGGGCACAGGAATGCCCGCCTGACCTCAAGAGGTCTCTGGCCAAGTGCCACCCCTTGACCTGGGCTGAGGTGACCTCTGGGGTCTCCACTGGAGGTCTAGGGGAGGACTGAGCAGACTCGGGGCCACAGGTGACCTTCCTACCTCCAAGGACCTTCCCTCATGACGTTCCCTGGTGCCAAATGGTCCCGTTTACAGCCATCTTACCGCTCCAGGCCTGGCTGACTTCCCCAAGGAAGGAATGAGCAGAAAGCAGAACACCAGCCTTGGAACAGCACGGAACTGATTCTCATGTTCACTCTGCCATGGTATTTCTTACATGACCTTGGGTCCCCGGTTACCCTTCTGGAGAACAGGTTTGCTTTGAGGGTTGAAGGAAGTGTCTCCCTCATTAGCTGTTATGCTCAGCATCTGGGGATGCTTTTGAACTCAGGCCTTTCTTGGAAGAAAGAGGGAGAACGTCTTAACTCATCCCTGCCTGTGCTTCTCTCTCTACTCGCCTCTCCTCCTTGCCTCCCTCCATTTTTAAAATTGCTCAAATGCAGCAAGGTCATCTCTGACCCATGTCTTGTCCTGACTGTTTTCTCTCTCTCTCAGGAAGTGTTCTCAACTGGGAGCGATTTTGCCCCTTGGGGACACTGGGCAACGTCTGGGGATACCTGTGGTTGTCCCGAGTGGGGGGCCAGCATGACCCAATCTAGTGGACTGAGGCCAGGGGCTGCAGGTAAATGTCCTGCCACGCACAGGACGGTCCCCACAGCAAAGACTCATCCAGCACAGTATGTCCGGAGTGTCCAGGTGGGGAAATCCTAGTCGCAAACGAGCTCTTTCTCATTTGCCCAACGATCTGTTCCTAGCCTTCAGTTCTCAGGTCCAAACTTGGCACATTCGGAGGCCTTTCTGACCGCCTGACCCTGTCCCCCAGCCCCCCCCACCCCCTCACTTTCTAGCTCTTTCCCGCCTTGCATGGCGCCATTAATTCCATTTTCCCAACTAGGGGACATGCTCCATCAGGTAAGGCTTGGGGCACATTTGCTCACTACATGCCCAGATAGGGCCTAGCATAAGAGTTGCTTACCACATGTTTGTGGAATGGGTACCTGAACAAGTGAATAAGTAAATAAGTAAAAATCTGCCAGCCATGTTTCATAATCTGCTTACGCTTGCTCTCGTATGAACAAAAGAAAAACAGGTATCTTTCTAACAACCATCACCTTTCTCAGGTTCAAGGGTACCGGGTGGACCGTGCCTAAGCTGACCAAAGACTGTGCCTTCCCCAGGTCCCCTCCAGTGCCCAGGGGCTTCCCAGCAGACAATGAGATGCCACCAAGCCAAGGACGGAAGGAGGGGGCCAGGAATCGCACTGTGAAGGAGACAGAGACCATTTCTATCTTCAAACAGAGAATGTCTCTCTCTGCCTGGATCTTATTTGGTTCCTGATTCAACACCCAAACTCCCGGGGACGTGTGGCCTCAATATTTGATGACATGAAGAATGACAGTATTTTAGGTGTGACAGTCATGCAGATGTTAGCTTAAAAGGGATGCATACTGCAATTCTTACAGACACAACTACATGGTGTCTGGGAAGCGCTTCAGTAGGGAAGAAGGGGAGGGTGTAGATACATCAGCACTGGCCACGACCTGATTCGAGCTGAAACTAGGTGATGTGCACGTGGGGCTTCACTGTACTGTGGTCAGCACTCAGGTGCCTGGTTGAAGACCGCCCTGATTGAAAAACACATATATATTTTTAAAGACACCTTCATCTGGCTCTCGGGGGAGTGCTGGCCCCACCCCACGCCCCAGGGCCATCAGAGGAAGGAAGGCCCCGCCCTTGGCTCCCCATACTCTTCTCCTTTTTAGCCTCACCAATAAATCAGGATGGAAGACACAGTCAAGCAAAGAGTGGCCTTCTGGCAGCAAATAAAGTTCATTTATCTTGCCTTTTTTTTTTTTTAACCTCACAAGATCTTTAGAGGGGTTTCCCTTGCTTTTGGCCTATTTTCAAGGCCATAAGCATTAGCGAGAGCAAGCTCTCTCGATCAGTGTTTGTGCCAAGGGACGGACCTTCCTGGTGGCATCTGAGTTTCTCGGTGCCTCGGGGCTGACGGCCACTGGACCAGCTCCACACAGTTGTGGCCGAGGGCCTGCAGGGGTGCCCTGCCCCGGGCAGGGGTTGGAAAGTAGCTCCCAACATTATAGTTTCACGTGAAACCTCCCAATTTTAAAATGTGTGCAAGCCGTTCATTTGTGACAAGTTGATAGCCGCCCCCCACCCACACACCCCCACCCCATGGGCAGGGGTTGGAAAGTAGCTCCCAACATTATAGTTTCACGTGAAACCTCCCAATTTTAAAATGTGTGCAAGCCGTTCATTTGTGACAAGTTGATGGCCAACACACACACACACACACACACACACACACACACACACACACACACACCCACCCACCCACCCACCCACCCCATGGGCCTCAAACAGCCCGAACATGTGTGTCTGTGACTCTGCTGTGGCCATGATAACGGCCCTCCCTGCCTCCCCTCTGCTCCCCTTTCTGACACGGGAGTCAGACCTAGTCCCGCCTCGAATCAAACATGCCAGGGGCTCCTACATTCTAGAAGCAATATGATCTCACCCCGGGGTTCTCTCTGACCTCCTACTACTCTACCCCTCACCTCCTCTGTTCTAGCCACACTGAGCCCCCTCGTCCCCCCAGCACAGCAGGTACATGCCCACCTCAGGACCCTGCAGAGGGGCTGTTCCCTTGGCCTAGACCACTTTCTCGGTTCCAGGGACTTGCTCCTCCTCCTGTTCTTCTCGGGAAGGACTTCCCCAGCCGTTCTTGCTAAAATTACGATTCTCCCTGCTGCTTTGCTCTGCTTTATCTTTGTCCCCCCGCACCCCACGTGAACAGAAGCTCCAGGTGGGTAGGGGTCTTGCCGGTTCTTCGTGTACCCGTGAACACAGCTGGGAAAACCGTGTGCTCGGGTCCCATGTGGATCCCAGGCTCCGTGGCACCTCACGGAGGCACAATGCCTCTTCAGACCGCTTCACGGCGAGGACTAAGGAAAGCAGGAGGAAGGCTGCCTTACCTGATGGGGTAGTCAGCAGCGCTGAGGTTGATGAAGAAGTCCCAGGGCCAGTCAGTCATCTCTAGGAGGTCCCTCATGCTCTGCAGGTACGTGGACAGGAGGCTGGCTCCCCCCCAGATGGTGGCCATCCTCCAGGGGGTGACGCGAACGTTGCCATACTGTCTGGCGAACTGTAGCACTTGCCGATGCAGGTAATTGGAGCGCTTAACCCCGGGGAGAGAAGGAGTGACATTTCAGCAGCAGAACACAGGCGGACGTGCCCCTTGCCCGCTCTCTCTCCCCTCCCGTCTAGGTGACATGGCTTCTGAACAGAGAGGACTTCGCCAAGCAACTGGCTCAGGCCTGGGGTGTCTTTCTACATCGCTCTTCAAAATCTTACTATTTTTGAAAATTTACTTTAGCTATTTGAAATGCAGACTCCCAGGCCCCACCTCTGGGCTCACGGCTCACTAGGCACGGGCTGGTGCCCGGGACTCTGCATTTTTATACAAGACTGAGGCATATGGTCTGAGGATGACAGGCTAGGAAGTATGACTGTGTCTAAACCTGGTGAGTATTTTGAGAGGTGGGATTTCTCCACTGCCCTCTCCCTCACAGGCCTGCTGTGATCAGGCATCCCCTTTTGACTTCTTGACGAAAGCCATCATCACGTCAGGTCAGCAGACCAACAGAAACCTCTGGGCCAAGACAGCTCAGGGGTCGGGAAGCCTGCTGCAGGGTTTTGTAAATAAAGTTTTATTGGTACACAGCCACACAGACTCATTTTTGTATTTCTCAGGGCTGCTTCCACCCTCCAGTGGCAGAGCTGAGTCGCTGTGGCAGGAGCATATACCTGCAGAGCCTGAAAACAGTTGCCATTTGGCCCTTTACGAGAAACGTGTGCCCGCCCCTGGGATAGCGGGGGCCGGAAGTGCACGGGCCGGTGAAGAAAAGAGGTAAGAAAAACAACACTTATGGAGAAAGTCTAAAGTCACGGCTGGGAACTTTGAAACTTACACATATGCACTTGCACGCCTGCGCGCGCGCACACACACACACGCACGTGCATGCACACACCCGTAGACGGAATGCTCTGAGGAGAGGCCGCTGATCAGCCTACAAGCCCTGCCTGAAAGGGAGGCCAGCTTGGGGAAGAGCAGACAGACCGGCAGAGAAAGCCAGCAAGGGGCGACCGGCGGCGGGGCGGGGGGGGTCCTCACCTTGTCCACGTGGATGTAGTAGAAGTGGTCTTTGTGATAAATGGCCTTGAACATGCGCTGCAGCTGCCGAGAGGCACGGCCGTGGACCACCAGGACGAAGGCGATTCGGACTGGGTTGGCCAGCATATATTCCACCGAATCCTCATCCCACTGCACGTTCTTGTTGGCTTTGCCTGGGGGAAAACCCAAGAGACCACAGGGGTGGGGTGAGGATCCCAGGTTCTTTGTGGGGGGGAGGACGGGGAGTTTCTCTGATGCTTCATCTTGGGGACTATTTGAAGGGCAGAGTTGTCCTATGGGGCCCTGAAACCTAATCCAGCTTAAGCAAGCTTGTCCTGGACCCTTACACTGTCCTGGTACGTGTGTGTGTGTGGGGGGGGGGACTCTGAGGTGCTTATAGGCAGGAGTTCCCACCCCCGAGGAGCTTTAAAAAGCTGACGGAGACCTAAGTACACAAATCAAGCCACTGAACAAGGCAGGAGGAAATGCGAGGTATCTCTGAACTGCAGGGGAAGGAGCAGTTAATTCTGAGCCAGGAAAAAAAGATATATACGAGCTGGTTTTGCCTGCCCTCTCCCTTCTCCTCCGAATAGCATCCTTTTTTGTAAACGTTGCGGAAAGAACAGATAAGATGACACGTACCCTCTTAAATTTTTAAGTTCACAGTACAGTATTGTTGATTAGAAGCACGATGTTGTACAGAAGATCTCACTTCTCCGGCATAATGAAAACGTTATCATCCAGTATTTTGGGGGGCATCATCCCCCTCCTCCATTCTCAGTCTCTATGGATGGGGAGGGTCTCCCTCCATCATCAGTGACAGGGAAGGTCACAGAGCTCAAGGCCTGGTCAATCAGAATGTTGCATCTCCCTGGCAACAGTCTGTATGGTTCAGATGCGGATGTGTGACCCAACCAAGCTAATTAGCCCAGAAGACAGAATTCTAGACTTTTGTTGGAACAACTCGATTAGAGAGGTTCCCTTTCCGGTATACATGAAACTGGAAGATTCTAAGAGCCCTTTTATCCCCACATAGAGAAAGATCACCTGAGAGGAAAGCAAACAGAGAAGAAGCAATGCCAAGGGACTGGATCCTAATGGTGCCAAGGGATGGGGTCCTAATGGCACCGTGTGAGTTACTCCATCGGCCCAGCTGGAGATCAGCCACCATCATCTCACAGTTTTCTTTGAAAACCAAGTTCCTGTATCAGACCCACCTGCATCCCCCTGGTTCCAAATGTCTTTTATCCTAGAAGTAGCCTTAAAGACTCCTTTTCTCCTCCTTCCACTTGCAAACACTCGCAGGGCAGGGTTTCAAGGGGGCGGGGGGGGCGGGCAGAGCTTATTATTGGCTTAGTTCATTACAGTTTTGACTAGAGATCTCCTGCCTCTCTTCAGCCTGATTTCCTTTGGGTCAAACCTGATTTCTTCTGGGTTCTAGGTTTACGAGACTAAGAATGTTGTCAGGGTTGTAGCTGCAGGTGTCCCAGGATGTCAACTTGGAAAACAGAGACCTGGGAGTGCTTAGTCTGGAGGTCAGGAGATCAGAAGCCTATCGCTGTCGCCGGAAAGCTAAACAGCTGCCAAATGAACAAGGCTCCTTCTAGGCCGTTCCAGAGGACAGGATGAAACTAACATGGCCGATGTCCAAATCACATGGCACAGCCTCTGCGGCCTGCACGACCTGCCTCCTGAAGACCGACCTCTGCACCCCGACTGCCCTCCTATCTACCCTGCCACCTGGCCTTCTTTCTTTGGCTTGAGCAAGTTCGTTTCTGCTTCAGGACCTTCTCACTGACTATTCCTGCTACCTAGATCTCCGCATGGCTGTATCCTGTCATCAGTTCACAGCTCAACAAAAGGCCACCTGCCCCCCACAGCCACACCGCTCTCTTGTGCCCCACCTTAGGTCGGTTTTCGGCATAGCATTTAACACCATCTGAAGTTGCGCATCTGTTTACTTGCTGATTGTCTGAACACCCCACAAACACATCAACTCCAACAGAGGAGGGGCTATTTCAGTCTTGTTTGTCATCGAACATACAAGACTGCACCAGTATCTGGCACACATCTGGTTCTTGGTGGAAAAAAAAAAATTATAGGAGGGGGACACATTGGTTTGGTACCATAATAGTAACAATACATTCTACTGAGCACCGACCAGCCCTTGCCATCCATCGTTGCACTCAATCCTCTCACCAGCCCCGCAGGATAGTGCTATTATCCCCATTTTGCTAATGAGGAAAACATAGCTTAGAGAGGCCAAGGGATTTGTTTGTTCAAGGTCACACTGCTTTAATTGGTTCAGCTGTGATTCAAGCCCAGGTCTGTTTCCAGAGCCGATGCCCTTAAACACTAATATAGACTACGTTACCACACCTAGACTTTGGAAAACTTGATAATAATTCTGTGTAATGAAATACCCTGTAAATTAGCTGGCAGGTAGGTAGGCATGCATTCGAGGGCTATCACAGGCATCGCAGGGAGGATCCCTGTATCATGTGGGAGGCTGACTCTAGGTGGCCAATAAGATCATGTTTTCTCATCCATCCGTCCACCCAAATCCAACCACCCACCCAGCAAACCATTCAGCTACCCATCCAGCACAGCATTCAATAGCTCATCATCCAGAAAACCAACCATCCATGCATCCATCCATCCATCCACTCATCACCTTTAAAACCATCCACCCATCCGCTTACCCATCATCCTCAAAGCAAATCATCCATGCCCCCACTCTTCCAACCATCTATCAACTCATCGATCCATGCAATATTAACTTAGCCTATACTACGTGCCAAGTACTGTGCCAGGTACTAGAAAAATAAAATTGGGGGGAAAAAATCCTTGCCTCTGAGGCGCTCTCAGCCAAATGGGGAAAACAGAAGACAATGGTCCAATTGTTTTAGGACAGAAGTGTGTTCAGTTGCCCTGGGAGGGTGGGGAAGGAGTGAGCAATCTGCCTGCAGGGACAGAGAAGATCTCAGAAAGTTCAGCCCATCTCTTCAAGTGCTCGCGCTGGATCCCAGCATCTTGGGCTCCTTGGCTGTTCAATCAGTAGCTGCAATCTGGCGATAATTATCATCTTGGCTCTGATTGAAGACAGACTGGGCAGCCACCGGAGAGGGTTATCCTAACCACCCTCTCCTCTTCTCTCCAAACCAATCACAAATACACTGGGCTTTCTTGGTGATGATACGAGAAGGGCACGCCTAGGGGAATCATGTCCCTTTAAACACTCATGCAACTCTCTATCCATCCATCCTTCCATCCACCCACTCACCCATTCACCCATCCATCCACCCACCTACCGACCCACTCACCCATCTAGCATCCTTAAAACCTCCCACATGCCAATCCTGGACAAAGCCTGGAGTACAAAGACACGTAGGCTGTGAGCCTGTTTTCACAAGTGGATTACGAATGGACGACAGAAAGCGAGAATCTAAAGTAAAAAGATAATAGGGATAAGAAACGCTTATATTCTCCTTCCCATGTCTGCAGCCCAAAGGCAGCGTACTGATCTTCACAATGCTGGCTTCGGCCTCTCTTCGCCTCCCTTGGAGACTATCAAACAAAGGGAGGAACGTTTAAAAACAACAGGTACTTAGTGCCACTTTTTTTGCACCTGGACTTCACTGGGTGATTTTTTTTCAAAGGCCTAAACATGGCCCACAACACTGTATCTTATAGGAAGTTCACTCTGTAGGGGCTCCTGCTGGCCCTCAGATCATACTGCTCATCCCTGCCCAAGGTCTCTGGGTAACAATGATCTGGAGTTCTTAGTGACTGAGGCTTATGGCGCCTTTGGGATCAGCCCGTGCTTTCTAGCTATGGGTGTCTCTTGCCAGGCTGTTGAATGAATGAACGTAGGAAGGAAGGAAGGAATGCATTCTGGCTGCTCTGGCTGACATCAGAGAAGCTGACGTCACTCGAAGGCCTGCTCGCACCAGCACTGTGCCGGATGGCGGGTGTGGAGATGCTATTTGGTTTTGGCAGGGATGCACTGTCAGGCTCCGAGGCTCAGAGAGGTCCACATGTTTCCCCAGGGTCACACAGTGAGTGAGGACAGAAGCAAGGAGTGGAAGCCCAAATCCATTCCAGCTACTTCCACCTGCCCTCCAAGGAATCAGACAGCAGGGAGACGGGGAAGGTTGGTGTGAAGACTGTAGGCTGGTCTTTAGAAGGACTTGTGCCCTGAGGTGGAAGAAAGCCTTCTGTAACTTTGTTTAAAAAAAAAAATTGGGGGCGCCTGGGTGGCTCAGTCGGTTGGGCGGCTGCCTTCGGCTCAGGTCATGATCCTGGAGTCCTGGGATCAAGCCCCACGTCCGGGTCCCTGCTCGGCGGGGAGCCTGCTTCTCCCTCTCCCTGCCACTCTGCCTACTTGTGCTCTCTATCTCTCTGTCAAATAAATAAATAAAATCTTAAAAAAAAGGATTTTATTTATTTGAGAGAGAGAGCATGAGCAGCGGGGTGGGGAGAGGCAGAGGGAGAGGGAGAAGCAGACTCCCCGCTGAGCAGGGAGGCCCACGTGGGGCTCGATCCCAGGACCTGAGCTGAAGGCAGACGCTTAACTGACCGAGCCACCCAGGTGCCCCCTTTTGTAACATTCTTTAGGGTTTTAGAATGAAGAGCAGATTCACAGACAGACACAGACGTGGATGCTTTCCTTCTGAAGAAAAGGAGCCGAGCACCAGGAAATCAGGCACTGTCATTCCGGCAACTGAGCCTGCAGACTGCAAGCCGTCCCTGGGTCAGACAGCTGGTCTGGGGAGTAGCAAAGAGAAGAGAGAACAAAAACCCAGTGTTCTCCTGGAGTATAGCTATTTTGAGGAGAGGGGTGGGTGGGAAGAACCAAAATACCTGAAGAAAGGAGACTCACACAGAGGGGCAGAGAGGGACAGACAGAAATAGAGACAGAGACAGAGACAGACACAGAGAGGGAATGGGGGTGCAGACAGACAGGCCTTGCTCACACTGAGAGAAAAACAGAGCAAGACCTGCAGGCAGCAGGACCTCCCCCTTACTCCCACCGACGGGAGAGAACCACAGAGAGACAGACCTACACAGAAACACTGAGAAAGACAGAGACACACACAGGTATAAATAGAGACAAATGCATGTGATCAGATACATATACAGAGGCAGCAAGAGACAGAGGGAAGAGGGGAGC